TGCTCATAAGTACATAAATATCAATTTATGTCACAAAAAATTTTTTTTTGTCACTGCACTACAAACTTTTGAAACTATGGAATCAAATTAGAAATGACGTAATTTTTTTATTAACTTTTTATTTTTCTTCTCTAAATTAAAGAAATCAAATCAAAATTTTAATTTTACGCAAATGATATAATTTTAGTAGTATGTATGTAACATATGTATATGGCATACTAAATATACATTGTTCCCATGTATATATGTATGTAAATAAATATAAAATATATGTTGTGAATTTCAATCGTGCTTAGATCAAATTTTGTGATAAAGGTAAATTTTTCTTATTTGTAAGTATTGAATTCTGAAAGGGTATAAGTTTATTTTACTCAGAATTCTATACATACTTAAATAAATACGAGTACTTATAAACATCTGCTTAAAACTTTTTAATATTTTAGAACACGGAAATTATGAAAATATGAAGATATTCCTTTCAAGATGGCAATAAACCAAATGAAGCAGCGTTTCTTTACCGAACTGTTTTCGTATGGATTTTGTTTCATTAAAATTCGATGGCATTCTTTTTCATCTGTCAAAGAAAATCTATGAACGTTTAAAAATTAAAGTTTCATCAAATTTTAATCGGATCAAAAAAAATCCATGAAAACTATTTGATCTTTAAACGCTGATTTACAAATCGGCCTCGATTCAATTTGTTTATTACCATAAACATACATACAAACCTCATAATTTAACAAAATTTAGTTCTAAAAATTTGAATAAAATTATGGTTTATCTATATATATATATATATTTATTAATAATTTTGAAATAATTTTTATTCTCTTAAATATTATGCGACATTTTAACAATTTTATACTGATAGTACATTTGCTGTACTATAAGTATATAAAAGCAAAAATATTTGCTATATTATTTCGTCAAAAAGCGGTTTTCACTAACTGACATATTGTTAGTTTTCTTTTAATACACGTGCATACAAATAAAATTTTTATTTATGAATCATAGAACATTACTAATTTTGTATTTCATTGTTGGTGGTACTCGGGTGGTAGTCTGCTTGGTGGTACGTATGCGAAATGAAATGGCAAACATGAATTTTATTTGTTTGGTCAAATTTAATTTTTTTTTATTTTTGTATTTTCTTTTGTCTCTTTTATTTTATGTATCTAATTTATTGTCGCAAATCGAGTATACTTTACATACGACATCGTATACAAACAAATACATATTCAAGTACATATTCTATAATCATATTTTTTAATGTATCTTTCTTGAATATTTCAATTGAAGCATGAATAAAAAGTAATTCATGAAACATTTTAGACCACCTAAGAATTAGTTATGAGAAAAATATTTTAAAATTATAAACCATGTTAATTATTTAAATTTTTTAAGTTATACTTATACTCGTACACATTTACTTTCTATTTTAAATTTCTGTATGTTTTAAATGTTTTTTAAATGTTTGAGAAATCAATTTGTTTTTTTCTTGTTTTGTACGTTCTTCGTAATAATAATTTTATTTTCATAACTTTCAAGGTAAGAAAATAACTACAAGAACATAGTAAAATAGATGAGGTTGGATTTCAAAGTAATTTTTTTTCATTTTTTTTTTTGTATTTCCAAAAATATAACAACTATATTTTATGAATGTCTTATAAATTAAATATTTAAACTATAATTTATTAATTTTTTCTTTTATTTAAATAAAATAGTAAAAAAAATTTTTTTCTAACAGTGTCTTCATAAAATATGTATAATTCACAATTCTGTTTTTTTTTTTTTTTAACAAAAAACTAATTTTGTTAAAGTTTATTTATAATAAAGTTTTATTATTATAAAAATTTTCATTTTCTTACACTGAGAGAAAATATTTTTATTTTATCGTAAAATACAAAAGTTTTTCTAACACAAAAATTTTAACAAAATATAGATTCTTTCATTTAAATGTGCACTACGGAGCACATCTACATTTTCGACTGTCATACGAAAATTAAAATTTCAATCAAGTGCTCGTTCACAAATTACTAAAGTAAATTTTAGTGCCTTATGTTTTAAGAAAAGTATGTAGTGCTTTAAACCATCAAAAATTTTAATAAATTAATAAATGAAGATTATTACATGATTTTGAAAGAAATGAAAAATATTCGAATTCAAAGAAATCTCTTCCATGGATATGGTTAAATTTATTGCCGTTTTATTAATTTCAAATAAGTATTCACAATTAAATACATGCAGAAGCATAATTGTAGACAAAGCGTAGACAAATTTATGTTTGTAGAAGCAAAACGCTGAATTCAATTTTTTCTACTTTTCAACTACATTTTTATCAAAATTTTACCAAATCTACTCGTAATCATCTAAATATTTAATAGAAATTAAAAATTTAGTAAAAATTCTCTAGTATTATATTTAACTAATTTTTAATTTGGTATTTTAACGCCATTTGGCGTTGGAATTTTTCAAAAAATTTGTTTACATCAAAACAAATAATAATTTGTAAAAACAATTTCTAAACTTTTAGATTGTTAAATAGATTACTGTAATGTATGCGTGTATGTATTTGATACATAAGTTCGTTTATTTGTACTTATACATGCATGGATGTTCATTGAATACAATATTACTTGTATATTACTGTGAATAAAACTTAGTTATTATTATAGCCGGCATTTTTCTTAATTAATTCATAATATATTTTTTTTTATCATATTACGCTTTTTTTTTTAAATAATTTTTTCTTTATTATTAAAGACTAATTGCGCGTAGACACATCGATAAGTACCCGTAAATTCAAAATAAATTTATAAGTATGTCATTTTTCATATGATTAGTAATTTATTTAATAAATATGTTAAACTTATATGTACGTGTAAATTTGGTTGGCTCCACATTGCCTTTTTTTTCTTGTTTTTGTCTGATTGTGATTTATTTTTGGCAAGCTTTATTGTTTGCATCAATCATTTACCTGTATATTTAGATTTCCTTTCACTTTCTTTACCTAAAACTATTTAAAGCTACATGCACGTATGTACTTACATATTCATACATATACATAGGTGAATTTCAAAAATACCATTTCGGTATAAAAAGGAAACAGTTTACGAGGTTCTAATTTTTATTATGTTTTTTTGATATTTAGGTATATAACAATTTTTTAAAATAAAACAATTTTTTATTGTCATTTTGAAAAAAAAAAAAAAATTATTATTGAACGTATTTATGAATTTATTTTTATCTGTGTAGTTAATTTTAATTTCTATTTTCTTCTCGAAATTTTAAAATTAAAAAAAAAATTTAAAAGATCAAACAGCATTTTTTGATATTTTCATAATGTTTTTACTTTTATACATTTTTTTATTAATATTTTTACTTTTTGTATCTAAAAATTATATACATATGTACATGTATGTATATTATAAAGTAAAGGTATATATCAGAAGTACATTTGTGTTCATTCCTGATTATTATGTATGTTTGCGAAAATCTTAGGTTGAGTTCAATTTTTATTTTTGGAATAAAAGTTTTAAGTATTACATTATTATTTTTAGCTTTCTATTGAAAATTTCTTTTGTCTGAAAGAATAATAATTTAATCATAGAAAATTAAACTATTAAGTCGATATTTTGTCTCCCAATTAAATAGAATTTGTTTGGTTTTATGCATTTATTTAAAATTTCGAACTTAAAATAATTTCAAGTACTATATTAATTAAAAATTATGTGGAATTTGGAATTGTAAAGAAATAAAAAGATCCGTTTAAGAAAACGATTTTTAAATTATTCGTTCTATTTAATTTAAGAGAACATACGGCAATTATTTATACACACTATAATATTTTTAATAATTTTAACAAAACAAAAAATAATTCATAGGATAAAATTTACAGTACACAAAACTTTGATAATTTTACACTGACTTTTACGTTAAGTTAAAAATAAAATCGAATTATAATATTTTGCTTTAGTCCTATAGTGGGCAATAATTAAAAAAAAAGTTTCTTACCTTTTACCACATTGTTACAAAATAGCAAAATTTAAAAAACAATAATAAAAATATATGAGTTTCCTTTTTATTTTTCACTCTCGTTCTCTTTGTTGCTCTTTGTTTTGCTTCATGTTCATGCTAAATTTTATATTTCTCTTCTCCACTTATTTTCACTCGATCTCATTTTTCCTCTCTATTCTATTTTTATTTATTTTATATTTTTATTCGTATGTATATTTATTTTTCTCGAATGGTAAAACAATGAGCCTGTCTGCAAATTTTTAATTTATTTTTTTTATGTTTCTTTAATGCCATAAATATACATACTTATGTACATACATTAATTAAATGAATTCTACAGATGCTCTCCTTTGATATTGTTGTATTGTTGACTGTTGTATACAGAAATTGCCATACATACTTATGCATATATGTGTAAATTAAATACATTATATACACATGTCTGGCTGGATTTTAAATTAAAAATAATTTTTCATTTATATTTAACAGCAAATCATTGAGAACGTTCGCAACGTTCGTATAGTATAATTATTTTCTTACACCAAAAAAAATTAATACTTTCACCGTTCTGTTTAATTTTAAATTAATTTAAATATTATTATAAATAAATAATTATAATTGCGCTTTATAAAAAAAATGAAGAAAAAAACTAATAAATAATTGAAAGGAAAAAGTTACAAGAAAATAATTTTATACATATACAAAAATTTAAAAATAGAAATAAATGGTGTAAACATAAATGAAAAAAAATCATAAACTGAATGGGGCAAAAAATTAAACGTAAAATTTATAATTATAAAAAGAATAATAATAAAATCTGAATAATAATCAACTTAATTTATAAATTATAAAAAAAAATAAAAAATCTGATAATTTCTTGGATTAAAAAGTTTAATTTATAAATTTCATAATTTTTATAATTTGGAATTTTTAAAAATTAAATAAAACATTTTCATATTATTAATTTAATATTTATTTTTTAGATTAAACGAGTCTCTACGCGAAAAGGATAAAAAAGCAGGAAAAGATTTAGATGAAATTCAAGATATCTTTTATAAGATATCATCACTACAAGATCGTATTAATCAATTAATTGAAGAGTCAAGTGATTTATATGTATTCGATGAGAATACAAAAGAGGTTGAAAATAAAATTAATATATTACGCAATAAAATAAAAGATATTATTAAAGAAAGTCATAATTTAATATCAAATACAAAAGATAAATATATAAAACAGCAAAATTTAATACCATCTGATATACAACAAGAATTAACTAGTTTAGAATTATTAACAGAACGTTTACAAGGCGCAATGGATGAAAAAGAACGTGAATTTAAACGTGCCAAAACGGTACGTACAGATTATTTAAATGGTGTTGATGAAATACAACAATGGTTGGCAACAGCTGAAACAAAAATACAAGATCGTAGTTTGGCACCATTACAATTAAAAGAAATATTAAATCGTATTGGTCAAGAAATAACTGGTATATATGAAAAATTAGATTCAGTTAAAGTAAATGGTAATATAATAATTGATAATAGCCGTAGTCCACAAGAAAAACAATTAATACAAAATAATATTGACCAATTAACACAACAATTAAATTCATTAAGATCATTATTAGATGAAAAGAAACAATTAGTTGGTGATAGTTTAGATTCATGGACAAGATTTATGAATTTATATCAAATGGTAATGCAATGGTGTGCTGAAAAACGTAAATTTATTGCAGAGCCATTAAGTTTAACAACATTAACTGAATGTAGACAAAAATTAAATGATTATTCAACGGCTGTTAAAAGTATTAAACCAATTATTAAACATTTAAAAGAAATGGATAGAGAATTAGAATTAATAGGACAAGTAACAACAATTGGTGATTTAAATAATAAATTACAAGAAGCTGAAAATAATAAAGTTGAAGTTGAAGCAATTTTATTGCAAAGGGTAAAAAAACTTAAAAAAATTATAAAAATTTTTAGAAAAGAATTTACCAAAATTTTATTACAGAAAATTTATTAGTTATTAAAACAAAATTTCTTATTTGAAAATTTTAATAACCTTAACCGGAAACTATAGAAATATTTTATAAAATTACTATTAGTTAATTGAACTTTCTGTTTCTACGCTTGATCAAAAGTTTTTGCTCATAATTATAACAAAAAAAATTCTCATTGATTAAAAATTTACAAAGTATTAGTCATTGTTAAAAAAATATTTTAAATAAAATTCCTAAATTACTTTAACTGCAAAAAATGCTTTATTTACTACTCTCGAAAAGCAAAAAAAGGTTTATAGATATTGTTATCTAATCATGTTTTCAATTACTAAGAATTCAATTTAATTTTTAATTCAACAAAACTTCATTGATTTACAAAATTCTTAATATTAAAATAAATAAATAACAAATTTAATAATATCGAATTATGTTCAAGTACATTTTTTTTTGTTTTTGTTACTATAAAGATTGCAAATATCAAATTTATATTACTATGTTTGCAAATCTTAAAAAAAAAATACTATGATAAATTAAAAAGTTTTTGCTTTTATCAAAATTGACATTAATATTTTGTTAAATTTTTTTTTAAAAATTTTTATTTGGAAAATAAAATTACAACAATCAAAATTCGAATCTAAATAATAAAAACAACTTTATAGAATGCGTTACTTCAAGAAGCATCAGAAGAATGGGATCAATGTGAAAAGAAAATTAAAGATATTAGAACATGGATTGATAAAACAAAGAATGTATTAGAATCACCTAACCATAAGAAAAAACCATTACGCGATCAATTAGGATATTGTGAAAAGACAATTGCTGATATAAATGTACAGAAAACAAAATTATCATTGTCAATTGAAAAATTAGAGGTAAAAAATAATGAAATGAATTTTAAAACGGAAGTATAGAATATAATTAAAAATTAAAATTTTATTTTTTTACAATTTTTACACAAAAAAAAAAAACAAAAATTGCAGGTACATTTCCGTTCTGGTTTAGGTGGAGATCCACGTTTAGCTGAAAATGTTGATGAATTAATTAAAGTCTTAGATGAATTATTAGTTTTAGTTAAAACTAAAACAACTGGTTTAGAAGAGACTTTAAATCAAATTGATGTTTATCAGCAACAGATGCAACAGTTACGTCAACAAATAATACAAGAAGAACAACAATTAAGGCAATTAATGGCACCAACCTATTCTCCAAATGATAGGGAGCGTGCATTAGCGGATCAACAGGTATGTTGGTTTTTTTTATTTTTTCAATTTTTATAATTATTTGGTTAGGGAATTGATTATAGGAAAAAGAAAAAAAAAGATACATAAATACTTTTTTTTCTTTTCTAATTACCCTGTACTTCTTATATACTACCATATAAAAGAAGAAAAATAGGAAAACGTTCCGAACAAAATGAAAATAAAAAATAAGTAAAAAGAAAAAAAATTTAGTGAATCTCAGAATCCCAAAAACATTTTTTTGAAAAAGGTTTTTTAGAAAATTTAATACTTTACCCTTTTAGCATATTGTATTTTTAGGAAATTCCAAGAACGCACCATTCAAAATTTTTACCAAAATAGGGAATATCGGAAGAAACTGGAAACATAAATAAGATTTTGCAAAATACAATATATTTTCAGAAATTCGAAAAAAAAAAAAATGAAACACTATTAATGAAAAATCTATGTATTTTCATTTAAAAAATAAAATATATCAAACAGTTAACTTTTTCTTAAATTTATTATATTAAAACTCAATAGCAAATATTTATAAATAAAATGAAATTGAGAGTGAAAATTTTGCAAAAATTGATTGTACGAGTAATCGAAATCAAAATTTAAAGAATTACTTTGGTATTACAAATATTGCAAATATTAGAAAATTTCAATATTTTTTTAAATTTTATATTTTATTTGTTTTAATTTACTCCGACATCTGGATCACATCTTATTCATGAGTAGGTAAAAAATTAAATATGTTCAAGTGCATTTAAGATCATTATTATGATGTCATATTTAAATAATATAATAATATTGTATATTAAAAGACTATTTCAAAATTTTCTGACTCAGTTAATAATATTTTCTTATTATTCTTTGAATAAAACAAAAAAAAAATATTCTTATATTGTTCCTAATGAAATTCTTATTTAAACGAAAATTTCCAATGTAAAATATATTTTGTTGTTGAACTCAAAAAAAACTTAATTCTATTTTTAAAATACATTGTTTTTGTTGTTGCTTTTGTTTTCGTTTAGCAAAACTAAAATATTAATGTTCTTCTTAAAATATTTTAAATATTATGGTTTTATACACATATGAATGAAGAACATACGCAAATCACTCTTTTTTGCTATATATTTTTAAAATAATACTTTATGATTTTACCGAATAAAAAAATTAAATGTACTTGTATAATAGTATAATACATATGTAAAAAATAACTAAGTATATTTTTTATATATGTATTATACTATTTAATTTTATATTTTATAAATGGACATTTTAATATAATAAATTATTTTTAATTTTAATATAAATTTCAAATTACATTCAAATTAATGTAATTTTTTTCGGAAATTACGAAAAATTTTAACGGAAATTCTTTTTATTAAATTTCAAAATATATGCCGTTTTTAATATATAATATTAAGAACGGCTACAATTTTCAGCAATTAATTTTTAAATAATAATTTCAAATAAAAATTTTATAGTTTTGATATTATATTTTGCAAATTTCTTAATGTTTCTATATTCCGAATATTTTTATTTTATTTAATTTTTTTTTTAATTTGATTTTTCGTAAATTGAATTAAATTATGAAAAACGTATGAAATATTATCAACTTACAATATATATAAAAGATGTTAGAGAAGTATATAAATTTAGGTAAATATCACCCATATATTTCAACCATAATACATGTATTGTAATATTTACAACAATTTATATCATAAATATATATATCCACGTATTGTTCATACATATATTAAAAAAAAAAAATATTTTATTCATATTATTTAGCTGCCATATTTGATATTTTTTTTTCAATGTGCATTTACACATTTACTTTTTTCTTTCGTATATATTTAAAAGAAATGTTAAATAATTAATAAAACCATGTTGTTTCCATTTACATATAATACATCATTATTTTTTCTCATTCTAAATTATTTTTTATAAATATTCATTGATAAAAAAACTAAATAAAAAAAAATTAATTTTTTTTTTGCATTAATCATGGCAAATTATCATCATTAAATATATATATTTTTTAAATTATTTATTTTTGATTGAAAAAGTAAAAATTTACACATTATTTAATAAATGTAATTCAAAAAATTATCATAAATCATTTTAATAGGATTTTTTTATATGTATGTATCCTTACTGTATGTAACTATTATATTAGAAAAAGACCAAATTTAGAAAATTAGAAAAAAATCAAACCTTCAAAAAAAAAATTGTGTTTTTTTTTTTTTTTTAAATTATATAATAAAAATAATATGATAAAAATAATTATAACTGTATATCGCGTTATATATAAATTGTGCACGCATTTTAACATACGTGTACTATTGTATAAATATTAACAATGAAAAAGGAAATCGAAGAATTAGTGAAATGAAATGAAAAATAATTGAAATATAGATGATTCGCACAAACAAATTTTATAAGATGAATTATTATTGTATAACAATTATTTATTGTGTTATGTTATGCAAAAATTTCAGTAAAAAATTATCTTTAAAATTTAAGAATTTATTAAAATATTTTAATAAAACTTATACAAAAATATTATAAAAATCTTATTTATAAGACCAGCATCGGGGCATCGTTTAAACGGGCAAATAAAATGGAAATAATAAACCTTATAAAAAATTTAAAATTCATAGAATATTTTGTAAATTAAAAATAAATAGTTAAAATAACATAATAATTTTGTCTTATAAAAATATTATTAGAAAGCCGTCATCTTATATTTGAAAGCTCAACCGAAAAAAATGAAAATTGGGAATGAAATAATTTAATACTATGTATAAAAAGTTTTATTTAAAATTTTTATACTATGTATAACAAAATTTTAGGAAAAACTGTTATACTTCGTTCTACAATGAGAAAATAATTTTTATAATAAAATTTATTTATTTCTTTACATTTTTTTAATTATTTTCATTGGTGATCTTTATTTTTAAAAATATTTTTTCTTTAAATAAATAAAATTTAATAATATATGATGTACGTGACGTAACAAAGGTAATACTTTATTTTTTTATATAAATATATATATATATATATCTTAAATAAAGGATTTTTTCCAATAAAATAGTCATTCTTTTAAATATAGAAATTTTAAAGTAAAAGGAATTTATATTACAATAAACATAGAAAATCAAAAACAATAAAATAAAATTTCGCACAATTTGTTTTAATTTTTATTTTGTTTTTACCTTTTTTTGATTAAATTTTTTTTTATTTTTAATTTTATTACTTTAATTTTTTATTTATTAAATTTTTAAATGAAATTTTTAAATTATCTTCCTTTATTTATTTTGTAATTTTTATTATATTATTTTTATTAAAAATGAAGGTTATGGGGTATTTTTAAATATTGATATTATAATGTTATGATATGGTTATGGGTATACACATAATATATAAACTTGTACTAATATGGCATAATTACGCATACATTACTTTTTCTGTAGTCTTTTGGCGACGACAATGTTATGAGGAAAAAACTTTTTATAATATAATTTTTTTAAAATTCTTAAGAATAAAGAAAATTTCATTTATTATACATATAAAAATTTTTAATTTTAGTAAATTATTTATCATAATTAAAAAAAATCGATTGAACTAAAATTTTTAAATAGAAAATAATTTGTTTTTTATTCATTAAGGAAAACTTTTTATATATTTTATATCCTAGTCATACAACAGTATTATATTAGTTTTTTTTTTTTTAATCTTAACTAGAAAAGGGGAAATTTTATTATAGTATTTTTTATATTTTAATTTTTTTTTTTTATTTTATAAATATAATTATTCTAATTACATTTTTATTATTATTATTTTTTTTAATTTAATGGTAATTGGATTTTTCTTTTAATTCTTATTATTTTCCATTTTTTTTTTCTTTCTTTTATATTTCCATTCATCGTAAAATTACTCTTATATCATCATAAAATAAACCACATATAAAATGCATTTTATAAAATAATTAATTATTATATAATACGCACAAACACGGCCACGCAAAAATATTTATTTGTAAATGGTATTGTTGATTTATGTATTATACAAATTAATTTACGTATTTAATTAATATTACGTATATGAAAACATTATTTCTATAAACAACAACAACAAAAAAAAAACTGTTATACATCACTTGTATTTAATTATCATATTTCTGTAAAATATTGAAAACATCGTAAAATTCCTTTCAAACCAATTTGTATGCTTTTTTATTGTTATTGTTAATGTGTTTCGTTTTGTTTTTTGTATTTTGTTTTTGCTATTATTCACATCTATTTGAATAAATATTTTTGTTCATTTTGTTTTCTATAACTGTTATACGCTTTATTTTTATTACATTTAATGATTTTCTTAATTTTTTCGTTTTTAATTTAACTACTATAATAATTGAATTAAAAAAAATCACACAATTAAATTTGCTTTATTGCTTATTAAATTAAACTGCTAAACAAAATAAAAAACATAACTTTTATTTAAATATTTATAACATTAATTATTATACTGGTATTATTGTTGATTATTAATTAACTTGACTAAAATAACTATTATATGTTTCCTTTTTAACGTCTATCTGTAATGTAATACATGATGTTTTTTTATACACTTGATTATTGAAATTGAAACTGCCTTCTTCTGGTAATTGGGTGCTAAAATTTAATAAAATTATATAATATATTAAAAAAATTATAATAAACAAAATACATTTGTTTTTCGTTCAAATATTTTGTTCCCGTCTTTTTTTTTTTACTCAAAACAAAAAATATTAAAATTTTTTTTTTAAATTTAAATCAATGAAACTATTCTATATTTATCTTATATAAATAAAAAAATTTTTTTTTGGGTTTATTAATATTTTGGGGTATTTATATTATATACAATGATATTATTTATTGCTTTATATATGAAATAATAATATATATAAATAATTCTTCGATAAAAAAAATAAATAGGCTTGTAGGGAAAGAGTAAAAAATTTACACTCAAAAATTTCTTCACGTACTGAACGCATAAAATTATTAGTTCATCGTGGTACACCAGATGATAACATTTTAGAAACATAAAATTTTGTAATTCTTAAAAGAATTCCAAAAAAAAAATGAAATAAATAAAAAAGAAAAAATATAATATATTAAAATTTAATTAATTTATATTATTACATAAAACATTTTATTTAATTAAATTTATTAAATACACTTAGTTATCTCTCTTCTTTGTAATTTTTAGTTTTCTTTTAATTTAATGATATAATAAATTTGTTGTTTTTTTCATGTGTATAATTGAAAAGAAAGGTATATGAGTGTTATTATGATTTTAGTTTTATTTGATATATTGTATATGAATATATATGTATATATATTCATACTCTTAATATCGATTTTATTAATTTGACATTTGCTACAAATATTTATATTATTTATAGAAAAAACATTTCACGAATTTTAAAAAAAATATTTATAAACAATATAATCTCTTAAGAACGGTTCAGGATCATGTATTTTTTTTTTAATTTTTATTACAATTTTGTCATTATTTTAGAGTATTTCGTACATTAATTAATTTTGTCTCTTATATAAAGCAAAAATCTGTTATAATTTTTTTTATATATATTTTACATCTCTTCTATATATGCATACATATATGTATGCTATTATTATCAAAAAATTTCCAATTGATTTTCTTTCGATTTTTAATATTCACTAAAAGTTTTTCTTATTTAGAAATATAATAAAGCTGACCCAAATATAATTCCGTTATTCACATTCTTATAATTCCGTTATAAAAATGTGACAATTGTCGAAAATGTTATACGGAATCATAACTGCTATAAGAAATTAACAAATTAGAATCTCCCTCTAGTTTAAAGTGAATATAAAAAAATATATAATAAGAATTCGTATGAAAATAATAAAAATATATATAAGAATTATTATAACAGAGTATTATAAGAGCTCTTTAACTGTTAATTATTAGTAAATAAAACATAAAGAAAGTTAATGTATGACAACGAATTTTTATTAATTTTTTTTATGTATATAAACTGATCAAAATACAGAATTAAAATAAAAATAACAAAATGAATTTACAACGAAAAGAAAAAATAAATATTTAACAATTTATTAATGAAAATTCAAATTTTAGTTTTTATTTATATACGCATATATGTATGTGTGCATATCTCTGTTTCTCATATAGGTAAATTTAGTAATTTTTATAATATATCGAATATGTTATATAAGCAAGGTACCGGTAATCTCTTATTTCTCTAGAATCTTGTTTTTTATTATTATTTATAAATTATTTTTTTCTTATTCTTTGAACAGAATTTAACAGAAAGGAATCTTTTCTTGTCTCTTTCAAAATATATTTTCATTCCATTGTCTTTGTCTATTTTCTTATTTAAAAACTAAAACTAAAAAAAAAAGAAAATTTTTTTGAAAATATTTTATTTTGGAAAACATAGTCCAATTTCTTTTTGCCTTTGTCTCTTATTAAATAGGCACAACAATTGCGATCCACAATTGAAGATTATCAACAAAAATTTGATATTGTTGCTGCTAAATGTTATACTTTGGATCCAAATTCTGTAACAACAACTTCATCAACAGTTTCGATGTTTTTAAAACCATCAAAGCTTGGTTTAACTTATGCTGAAGTTTTATCTGGGCGTTCAAGTCCCGTTAACTTTGGTGTTATAACAGAACAACAACAAATGCAACCACAAAAAGCACAAATATATAAATCTAATGTACAATATCAACAACAACAACAAATACCACAGGATCAATTGCACGAAATACAAACAAATATCCAAAGTCAGGAAATTGAAATGCCGCAGCAAATAATTGTACAACCAAGTGAAAATATTGAAATTGAACAATCAAAAAATGTACCAACTTTATCATGGCATCAACAAGTTCAAGAAGCTTCTGATGACGAACATGAACGAGAACAAGAAGTTCAACCAGGACACCAACACCACGATGTAGAAGAAAAATCAAATATTGTTATCTTGAGAGATACTGATATAAAAACATCTCGAAAAGATAGAAGAGATGATGAAAAGCGCAGAGCCATATTGATTGACGATTTTCCAACAGAAGAAAATGTTAATACATCTATTATTACAACAGTAACAAAAATAACTAAACATATAATTAAAGATGAATATGGTAATATTATAGATGAAACTGTAACACGATCTGATCCAGCAGTATCAACAACAACAACAATTGATCAAAATCAAATTCATTTACCACAAACCTCAGATACTACTAATATCAGAATCGAACTATTAGAAACTGAAAAAACTCCAACAACTTCTAGTCATGCACAACCGCAACAATATGTACAACCAATACATCGTTTAGAAAAACCCGAACGACCTGAAAGACAGCTAAGAGGTCGATCACCTCGTCGTCGTGGTGGAAAATCTGAAAAAGATTCTACCCAAGAAAGTATCCATAAGTTAGGTGAACAAACATTTCCGCAAGAAAGAAATAATAAATTTAAGGAATCAAAACATCATGGTTTTGAGAAAAATCCAAAAAATATTTTGACTCTACCAGAAGCACAGCGATCAAGATCCAAAAGTCCCATTTGGGTTCCAGGATCAACAACTTATGCGGAAGTTTTACGTGGCGCAGAATTGCAACAACAACAAGAGGATACAAAAGAATCAATACAAGTTCAGAAAGGTGATCAAAAAACTCAAACTATTCAGCAAACTGTTGATCATGAAATAAAATTTGACTCACCCCTTCAAGAAACTGAAAATAATAATATAACTAAGAAGGATGATTCCAGTGTCGATTCCGTTAATATTCAAAGAGATGTACTTCCGATAGCAGGAAACAACGAATTTGAACAAGTGAAACATCATCCTTCACAATCGTCGCAAACTATTAGTTATAAAATTCCTGAACAACAAACTCAAACAACCGAGTGGGGTTTTACTCAAGCAAATCAACCAGACTATTACAAAATGACAGAAAATGTTCAAAATCAAATTCAACAACAGCTACAACAACAACAGCAATTTGCTAATTACTCTAATATACAAGATCCACAACAACAATATCAGTACCTAACGCATGCGATTGCTGGCTATTATCAACCCCAACAATCTAATACAGGTGTTCCCACAACGACAATAGAAAGTACTTATCAGATACCAGGCAATATCACAGCGAATCTTATTTATTCGGAACAAAATCCGTTGTTTTATCAGCAATTAACAATTCCAGTAGGATCATATGACCAGCAAATTCAACAACAGCAGCAGGAATCTGTTAATTTTTACGAGCATCAACCACAACAATTCAATGTCGGTGATTATCAAAATGCTATAATGATGAATCAAACATTGCAAGAAGTTGTAACAACCTTAGCTTCCATTGTTCACCAACCTTCACATCAGCAAGTTGGTAATGAAATGCAACCATTTCCACCAACAACGTCTTCATCAATACCGCAGGTATTAAGAGAATCGAGTGCTCATAACCCAGATCAATCATATATACCAGAAAATATCGACATAACATTTGGTCAATTTAGCCAAAATGAAATCGACACTTGCACAAAATTTGACTCACAAGAACGAGAAAAAAATGTCGAGGTGAATGAAAATGTTCAATCATCAGATCAGATTTCAATTTCAGAACCAAATCAGAAAGAAACAACGAATCCTATTGTTTCTGAAAGTGAATCAGTGCCTTTAGTATCATCTACAGCACAAACGTCAACCATTTTACATGATCAATCACCGGAAAGTGAAGTTAGGCAAATTTTGCACAATCAGCGTTCACAATCATCAGACAACAGCGGAAAATCGTATGCAGATGTATTATTTGGATTAGATAGAGGAGGAAATAATTATTTCCAGCCATCCAGCAGTACAAATATAATATACAGCAACGTTCCAATATCGAATATACTACAAACACAAGTAGATAAACAACCAGTCACAACTATTACAACAACAGTTTTTGAACAACGTAAGCCTTACCAAAGAAATGTTTTAAGTGATAGCCTCAAAGTTCCTTATCGAACGAATAATCGACAAAAGTCTCCTTCTCGTGATAAAGTAGTCAATAGAAGAGAAGACACGAAGAATTTACATATTAAAAAATCAAAATCTCGTCAGCGACACAATAGCTCTAGAGAAGATGATAATGACAAATATGAAGCTGATAGTATGAAAAAGTCTGCTACTATTGACATTAAATCTAATGTCACAAATGTAGTTAACACAATTATTGCCCCCATATCATCAGCTATTTCTAAAATCATACCGAATCAAAAGTCAAATAAAACAAATGATGAAGTGCAACAACAATGTAATATAGAACCAGAAGAAACAACAGACATAAAACCAGAAAAACCTAATAGAAATAAGAAAAAGAAACCTAGACCAAAAGATGAAGAAAGTACCGTTATAATTGAAAAAATACCAATAAAATCGAGTACAATCATTACAATTGATTCAAAAGAAGCACCAATTGCAATAGATCCTCCCCAAGTCTATATTTCAGAGCAGGAGTTGATTGAAACTGCTAAAGACAGTAGCCCTGATGATAAAAAGAGAAAATCCAAGAAATTTGAGAAAGAGGAAAATATAATAGGTTCGACAGATTTCGAAAAAGCAGAAAGCCATGATCTCAATCAAAAAACTAAAAAACCGAAAAAATCAAAAGAACAAACAAGCAATATTGAAAATTTAGATTCTTTATCTTCCGAAAAGTTAAAAGAGGAAGGGCTTAAAAGTAAAGAAACGTCTATTCTGGAAGATGTCACACAAATGCTAGAAAAATCTAACAAAAATGTGAAGGATACTGTTCAGTCATTTATTAACTCCGAGAAAACAAGTGGTGAGCCTAAAAAGAAACTGAAAAAGAAAAAATCAAAAGAATTCAAGGCAACAGAAGATCAAGTTGAAAGAATATCTATTTCAGAAGAAACTGTAAATATTTTAAGCGGAAAAGGTAGCGCAGAAACATCAAAAACTCAAGTTCCAGATACCTCGAGTTTAACTATTCAAAACACAACAATTCCATTAACTGACATGGAATCCGTAGAGAAGCATGTTGTAGAAATGCCAGATATGAAAAAGTCCCCAAAACCACCAAAGCGAAAACATAAAAAATCTCAATCTAAAGAAACAGAAGAAATGAAACCAATATCGGTTTACGAGGAAGTTAAGCCTCGATCTGAGGAAAACTTAAATGTAACTCAAGAAAGTAAAGTTGCAAAAGATATCGAGGGTGGACAATTTGGCAAGAAAGAAAAGCGAAAGCATAAGAAATCTGAATCATATGATCCAAATGGAAAAATTGAAAAACTTAATACTAATGAAGTAACTTCTGCCACTTCAGAAGACAGAAATTCTGTCGAAACTGTGAAGACTAATTTAGAAGCAAATATATTGTCACAAAATACCCCCTCACCACAGAAGAAAGAAAGGCGAAAACATAGAAAATCACAATCAAAGGACAATGATGTGAAAGAAACAATTTCAATTTTAGAACATATTCAAATAGAAACTGAAATTACGAATCAACATAATACAAGCGGTGAAACTGTAGAAACAATGCCTATTTCTAAGGAAATCAAAGCTGAAATAAGAACAGAAGGGTTCAAGTCAAATATTAACGAAAGTATTCCTAGTGAAAGTCAACCAGAACTACAAATTGTTACCCCAACTTCCGAAACAACAATAACCATAACTGAAATTAAGTCATCTGTCGAACCAAATGTTACAGAAATAATTTCAATACCCAACGAGTCTAATAAAAATGTTGAACTAAATAACAAAAGAGACCAATCAGAAAACAATAAAAAGCGAAGCAAAAAACAAAAGAAACATTCTGAGAGTGAGAAAACCGCTTCTGTTCCAAAAGAAGTAGTTCAATTCAAAAGAGAAGAAACAAGTCCTGTGATTTCACAAATTGATACAACTGCCTTAACAGTAGTACCATCACATGAAGTAACACCGCCAAATATTGAAAGCACAAAAACGATTATCGAAAAAAATGTAAAAGATGAACCTGCGATTGAGGAAACTTCAATTAAAACTTTACCTAAAAAATCAAAACAGCACAAAAATGATAAAAATAAAAACAAAATAGGATCATTAAAACAACCTGTAATGCCGGAAAGTAATACTTTGTTAAATTTAGTCGAAACTGAGATAAAAACAGAAGACCAAATATTACCAGATAGTACCGTTACAAAGACTGAAACTAAGACTGAAACATTTGATGATGGACAGATCACTAAAACGATTGTAACAACAACAACTGTAACGGAACAAATAGTCGAACCGACTGTTGAAATATTAAAAAATAATATCACAGATAATACATTACCAGAAAAATCAATTATTCATATTAATAAAACAATAGAAGAATCTCCCTCAATGCTATTACAAACAGACAAGTTACCAGATTCAACAACAATAACAACTGTTGTTGAAAATGAATCTACAAGCAAATCAGAACAAGAACGGAGGGATATTAATACTGTTGAGACTTTAAAAACGACTAAATTACAAACTATTACAACACCAGATCATAATGGCCATATAATTGAAGAGGATGGTTCTAATGCCACGCTGTCAGAAACTATTATATTGCCAGACAGAAAAACTCATAAAATTTCTCTAATTACGCATGAAGAAGTTCATAAAGAACCCGTTATTCGAATGAGTTTAGAAATTCCAACAGTTACATTAAAAGTTAAAAAGACTGTAACAGAGAGTCAAGAACTTTTAATGCAAGTTGCTGATGAATCCGTATTAACTGAAACAATAGAAATTTCAGATATTCCATCAGTAAACAAAGAAGATATACCGATATCACAAAAAATTGACGAGTCCAAATTACAAGACGATGAACGAAACACTAATACTACAATTATAGAAAGCATTCCAATAGTTGACGAACCCTTTGTTTGTCTAACTAGTGACTTATCAGGCACGGATACGGTTACAACTATTGAAAATATTCAAGAAGTTCAAAATGAGTCACATGCAAAAAATGTTAATCTTATTGTTACTGATTTAGATGATCCAAATCCAAATGAATTGATTCAAGTTGAAACCATAACTGTAACTGATAAGACAATTGAAACGCAACATGATATTAAAGACATTCCAAATTATGAAAATGAAAAACAAAAACCGAAATCTTATGCTGGTTTACCGATTGATGAATCAGCAAGTGATTGGATGAATGCTATTGATGAACCAATGGTATTTTCCGATGATGAAGAAGAACCTGAACAATCCAAAACAATAGCAATAGATGAAATTCAAAACTGTAGTTTAGATGACACAAATAATGCTTCAATATCAGAAATAACTGATTCTGGCGTTGTTTCTTCATCGCTGCAAAGTGATGCGAAGTCAAATATGTCCGAAACAATTGAAATTTTACAAGAAATGAAACTTTCCAAAAAAACTCCAGAAATAAAGGACATTGCAACAGTTGAAGAATTAACTCCAGAAGATAAAATTCTTTTAGATAGTATAAAAGAAAAAACGTCTAAAAAGAAAAAGAAGCGACCAGCATTACCAGAACAATTTAAAGAAAAAGATGACACAAGAGATGCTCATGAAATAATTGAGGAAAACAAAATGTTAATTGAAGTCAGCAAAGAAATTATTGAAACTAGTAAACAACATTTAAAAGAAAGTAAGGATATGGCTGAAATAAGTAAAAATTTATTAAAATCTGGTAAAGATTTGACTTCAGAATTCTTAATAAAAGAAAGGCAACAAAATATTGATAATCCTAAAACTTCAACAGTAATACATGAAGAGGTAAATCAAATTTCAAAAGAGCCAAAAATTGAAATAAAAACTAAAGAAATTACTGTATCAAAATCTGAAATCGCTGAAAAAGATCCTAAAGTTAGCCAAGACGATTGGCAACTGAAAAAAGTTGTCGAAACTGTTACGACAGTTGTACAAGACTTAACAACAGGTCAAACTGTTAAAACCGTTAAAGTAGGTTCAGGTAAAGAAAGCAAAGTTGTTAGCAAAAATATTAATAATGAATCATTTGATTCAATGCCCCAAAAATCTAAAACTTTAGTTTTGGAAAAGCCCATAGAAAAAATTTCTGATATAGATTTTAATAAATCAAATATTGATTTAGTATCTCTATCATATAATATACCAAAATACAATCATTCTGCGCTCAGGAGTGCAGAATCTAATTTACCTAAAATCTTAACTTCGTCTATAGAAACACCCATAGAAATTGATTCAAAAACATTAAAATCAAACCAAGAAGAAGTGCAAAAATTAAATATTATTACAGAAAAAATTGTTGATAATATAAAAGATGAATCTCCTCAAATTTCTAACACAAATATTTCCAACACATTAACACAATTACAACCACAACCACACAATATTATTGCTCCTAACAAAATTGATGATAACAAATTAACCGCAATAACTAGCTTAGAAAACATAATTAATAAAGCTACTATTGAAGATTTAAATAAACCCCCTATTACCACTACTAATACAATTGCGAATATTTCTGAGTGTTCAATACCAGCTAATTACTCTTGCTATGACATCCCAGCTTATAATTTACCCTCAATGAGCCAAGCTGAAAGGAATTTTTACTTGTTCCTTAATTCTCCAATAATGGAACCTAAATTAGTTGAACAGAAGATGAATAAAAAGTTAGAAGACGCCGCTAACACAAATGATGAACCAATTTCATTACAAAAACCAACAATGGTTACTGAACAAACTATTTTTACAACTACTACAGAAATTAGAAATTCGACATCACAAAAAATAGAAGAAGAACCTGATCAAATTAATCAAAGAAATAATATTCCAGTGCATAGTACAGAAACTGTGTTACCTGGAAAAGAAGTTATAATAAATATAGCAGCGGAATTTAAGGAAGAATCCAAAGTTGTAATCGATAAACCAGAAAATCTTAGAAAAATAAGTGATGAAAAGAAGCAAGGCAAGATTGCTCAAGAAAGTGTTGAGCCACATGAAAATAAACCTTTGGCAGAAAAAAGTGGAAATGATGTTAAAACTCTTCAAGAATCGGTTAACATTAATAAAGAAGCTGAAGAGCACAAAAAAACAGTGTATGCTGGCTTGCCTCTTGATGAAACTAGTGATGCTTGGATGGATGAACCACCTGTATTTTCAGACGAAGAAGAGTCAAATGACAAACCAGAAAATGTAATAGAAGTAGTCCAAGAAACTGTTGAACTGCACGAAAATAAGTATTCGATGAAACCAATTAAAAACGACATTCCATTGGAAAATAAAGAAATAAGAACTGTCAAGGAAGATATTAAAACTCCTTACGCCGGGTTGCCTCTTGACGAGACTTGCGACGCTTGGATGAATGAACCACCAATATTTTCGGACGAAGAAGAGTTAACTGGAAAACCGCAAAGTTTAATAGGGACGCTTCAAGAAATTGTTGAATCGTCTGAAAATAAACCTTCAGTAGAACAAACTAAAACTGTTCCACTGCAAAATTCTGAAGATCTTATTCCAGACAAAGCTCAGCACCACAATGAGAAACATTCAATGGAACCAATTATTGAACAGCACAAGAACAAACATCAAATGGAACCAATTAAAAACGATGTTCAATTGGAAACTAAAGAAATCAAAACAGTCAAAGAAGATAGTAAAACTCCTTACGCCGGTTTACCTCTTGATGAAACTTGCGACGCTTGGATGGATGAACCACCAGTATTTTCTGATGAAGATGAAAAAGAGTTAACTGGAAAGCCGGAAAGTAAAACAAAACTGGTTCAAGAAATTATCGAATTACATGAAGATAATCCTTCAGAACAGACTAAAACTGTTTCAGTGGGAAGTTCTAAAGATCTCATTATAACTCCAGACAAAGTTCAGGTTCATGAAATAAAAGAAGAAATTGAACAAGCCAAAAAACCTTACGCTGGGTTACCACTTGATGAAACAAGCAATGCGTGGATGGACGAACCACCAATTTTTTCGGATGAAGAAGAATTACCTGAGAAATCTCAAAAAGTCACAAAGTGTATCAAAAATGAAAATGATAATCAGCTAATTAAAAATAGTGAAGATTTAGGAGATATTCCAGTAAAAGATTTTGTTGAAAATGATCAAAAACCTAATGCGGTTTCGGAAAATATGAAAGCAGAATCAAAGAATAAAACTAAAATTAAGGAAACCAATTTGGTGCCAAACACTATAGTTGAAAAAGTTACAGAGTTTGTTAAAGATGAATTAAAAACGATAGATCAGCATGTGGAAAGAAACGTAATTAAGTCGATTTCTCAAGAAAACCTCAATAATGATGATGATGAATGGATTTTACTTGAAAAACCCGAAGAAGAAGTAGCTCCGAAAGAAGAAGCGGAAATTGACACTTGGTCTAGTTTGCTAGATGATACTCCACAAGTAACGGACCGAACATTTACAACAACTATAACTACAACGACTACCAATAAATTTATTTCCAATTTATCTGCTGATGCCCCAGAGTTCACGCCATCTTCGAGAGTGAGTAAACATTCACAAATACATCCAGAAGCTCCTGAATTTACACCATCGTACAAAAGGGTGACAATGCCCAACCCGGACGAAATCGAAGAATTCACACCATCATATAGAAAACCGAAATCAGATATCAATTCAGATTTTATAAATCAAGAGCGAATTGCGACCTCTACAACAATAAGAGAACTCAAGGATGTCCATGAAACGAATATAAAAGATAATTCCGAAAAACTAAAGAATGACGTAAAATCTAAGGTTGAAGATGAAAAACCAAAAGAGAAGTCAAAATTGAAAGGTAAAAACAAAAAACCAAAAGACATACCTGAAAAAGATATTGTTACCGAAACAATTGCTGAACCCATTGCTGAATCTGTGGAAATACATAAGGAAGTCGTGAGTTCCGGCCCACCAATTTCTGTTTGGCAAATGGCAAAAGGAAGTGATGGAAAAACTTATGCTGAGGTTTTATTTGGAGATTCGCCTCCTGAAAGTGAAATTGAGCAAGTCTCTCACGACAACAGCGAAACTGGAGAAGATGCATTGGTATCAGAGTCTCTTATAATTAAAGAAATTCAAATTGAAAACATATTACCCGCAACAATAGAGTCAGTGTTAGATGTACCAGAACATGGAGATCCTAAAGAGAAGAAACCCAAAAAAGAAAAAAGAGACAAAAAACCTAAAAAGTCAAAAGAAGAAATTCCTCATGAACAACACGTAGAAGAAGAAATTAAGGTATCAAAGCCTGTCAAAGAGAAGAAAGACAAGAAAGACAAAAAGAAGTCAAAGGTAACTGAAGGACAAATAACGTTGCCCGTAATACAGCCTGAAGAGCGAAAGATTGTTGAAGAAGATATAGAAATTCAAATAAAAGAAATTGAAGTTGAGTGTGAGCCTGAAAAAATTCTTCAAGATGAAATTTTCTCTATAGAATCAAAGGAGATTGTTTCTGAGACTAAAAATATCGAAGCTTTAACAGAAAAATTACAAGATTTAAAACTTCCAGAGCCAGAAATAGTGGACGGAAAATCGGACGAGCCGACCCAAAATGAAAAGAAGGATACATCAGCATTTTCTTGGGCAGATTTAATAAAGAAACCTGGCGAATGGATTGATGAAACACTGCATAAAAAGACAAATAAAACAGAACCGAATAAAACTGAACTTCTGAAACAGGAAGAATCTAAATTTAAAAAACCAAAATCGAAAGAAATAAAGGAAATGGTCACAAAAGAAAGTTTAGATTCTCAGAAAGAAGATGTCAAGGATAAACAACTTAAAAAAGACAAACGAAAAGAACGAAAGAACAAGAATGTTAAGGAAACAATTGACATTAAAATATCAGAAGAAACTACACCAGAAAGCAGGGCAGAGCCAATACAAAATATTTCTTCTCAAGAAACCAAACACTCAGATCAGTTAGAAGTTGAAGAAAACGTTGAAAGAAAAGATCCCTTGGTTAAAGAATTTGAAAGAAAGTTGTCCGAAAAACAAGCTGAATCTGAAGCAGTGCCAGACTCTGGCGGATTTAGTTGGGCTGCTTTACTAAAAAAACCAGGGGAATTCGTTGATGATCTTTTAACAAGAAAGCAAAAATCAAAGGAGGAACCTAAATTAAAAAAAGAAGAAACAAAGCCATCTAAGAAGAAAGATAAAGTTAAAAAATCACACAAAATTCAAGAACCGCAAGAACCGCAAGAACTAACAATTAATGAAAAACGAGAAATTATCGCAGAAGAACAAACTACGGAAGTCAAGGAAGTTCAATCCCAAATTTTGGAAGAAATTTCTTCTATTTTAGATGATGATTCTAAAGCTATAGAACCAGTTGTACATGATCCAACGGAAGTAAAAATAACAGAAAACATATCATCAGATAAGCAGTTAAGTTGGGCACAAGTTGCTAGTCAAATTGACTCATGGACGGAGCTCGAAAAACCCAAAAAGACTGAAAAATCTCCAGAACCGTCACTAAAAATAAAGGAACGCGAACGTGAAAAACTGAAACAACAACGCATCAAAAAATTGAGACAAAAACGTGTTTCCTTTGATGAAAATACATTTAAAAATCCGGAGATTATTAATGACAAGTTGCAAATTTATACCGAACCGGAAGAATCAACCAATACTGTTGAAATAAACTTAAATAAACAAGTGCCTTCTAACTGGGCTTCAATTGTGAGTCAAACTTCTGATTTTATCGATACTGAAAAGAAATCAACTGAAAGTCCTAAAGAACAAAGACTTAAAAAAGACGAAAAGAAGAAAAAAGAAAAATTTGTAGCTATTCTGGTTGAAAAACCAGACCTCCCTCAAGAAACAGAAGGATTTGAAATGGCAACAAAAGAAATACCTTACACAAAACCTCCTGAAGAAGAAACAACAAAACCCAATATGACTTCATGGGCGTCAATAGTAACTAAGTCAACTGTTCCGGTGGAGCAAGTTCAACAATTTGAGCCAGAATATAAACAAGTGAAACCTACTCAATCAACTGTTGAAGAATTTGAAGATAATACTTTGGATGATGTTTCCTGGTCTAGTTTAGTAGAAATGGAACAAAAAGTTGATCAGCAACAAAAGCCAAAATCATGGTCTACTATGATAGAAGAAGAATTAAAAGATCAAATAGAGATAGTGCCAGAAGTAGTCTCACAAACAGAAGATGAGGTACTTGAAGCTGTAAAAGAAGAAATTCCAGTTTCAATAGAAAAACCAATAGATGTAGAACAAAGGCTTAAGTCAGAGATATCTATCGCTGAGGAAGCTGTTGAAATGGATCAAGCAGATGAAGTAGAAATTCCTTTAGCCGATAACATCAATATTGAAAATGTTATCTCAACAATTTCTAAAACTCTAAACATTCGACAAGACAATACCCAACCTTGCGACGAGAAAGAAATCAAGAATAAGATTCTTAAATCTGAAATTAAATCAGGCACACCGACGCAAGAAGTTAAGATAATGGATAATGTTAACAAAGAACAGGAGTTCTCGGGATCTAAATTTCAAAGTACTAAAGAAAACGAAGTTCGCAATACAGATATTCCTAGCGTTTCTGATACAAGAAGTCAACTTGGAACAACAGAAGTTGTTGGTTCTAGCATTATTCAAGAATTTATTGAACAAGAAAAGAAAGGATTTAAACCAAATGAATCAGAAAGTTCAATTTTAATGAAAACAAAAGAACAAATAGAAATTGAACCAGCTAGAAGTCAAGTTGTACAAACTGATGTAACACATATTCTAACTGAAACAATTTTAGAAGAAGGAAAAGACAACCCAGTTCAAGAAGTAACGCATATTGATCAAAAAAATATTGATAAACCAATTCATCAACTGATTAAGCCAATTGTAGAAAAGCCAATGCCGCCAATCGTAGAAAGACCAACTTTACCAGAAACACCAATGTCTTGGGCCGCTATTGTGAGTCAAACTGCAAATTTCATTGAAAACGAACAAAATACATTGCAAACTGAATCATCAAAACCAGTAATTAATAAACCAAAAGCTGAAATCAAAGAAATTTCTACTGAAAAGAAGAAAAATAAACATTATAAGGTTCACGAAGTAGAAGAGTTCTCAGAAGAAGAGTTGAAATCGGAAAAGTCACTTAATGTCAAACAAGAAACGCAACCTGAAAAATCGGACAAAGTTAAAAAAGAAAAGAAAAAGAAGGAAAAACAAAAAACTGAAAAGGTTATTGGAATTCCAGAAAACGTTGTGCAAATAACAGAAACAATTTCTATAAAAACTGCACTGCCTGAAAATCAACAAACTGTAATTGCTCCAAAACATAAAAAAGAGAAAAAGTCTCAGGAAAGCCATAAAAATAACAAAATTGATGATGTAAAAGAAAAGTCATCTACTAACCAGTCAACAATTTCTTGGGCCAATGTTGTCACTCAAAGTGTTTCCTTAGAAGAAGAAAATTTACAAGATCCGCAACCAATTGAATCCATTGAACAATTTAACGTTTCATCAGAATGTCTTGAAAACCAAAAAATTGTTCTTGAAATAAATAAGGAAGAAATAAGCAACACAATTTCAGCAGATATTGCCCCTGAAAATGAAAACGCAAAAATTTCTTTTGATATACCCACCAATATTGCACAAGATATCAAAGAGTCTTTGGATGAATCAGTAATGCCACTCACCACTTCTTGGACAAACATTGTGAATCAAAGCATTGAACTAGCACAACAAGAAATTAATGTTCATTTTGAAACAGAGCCTTCTATGAAGGCACAGGCTATTCAAGAATCTTCAAATGAATTTTTAATTGAAGAAGAAAATGTACAAAAAGATCCTGTTATCGAAGATCAACGTAAAAAAGCTTATCGTGATATGAAAGATAAAAAGAAAACTTCAAAAGATAAATCCAAAAGTCGTTCTCCAGAAAGTGAATCGTCACAATTTAACTTTTCAAAATTACCAACAAAATCAACTACACTTACACAGATACCATCAGTTTGGAATACATCCGAAACTTATGCTGAGGTTGTTAGAGCTGGATTGAACGAACCACAAAATATCGTATCTGAAATGCTTGATCAAAATCATGAACCAATAGACGAATTTCCAGATCCTCCCCTTCAATTTATTTACAAAGAATCTACACCAGAACAAAATATTACAACCACGACTATAACAGAAATTGAGCAGAAATTAGAAGAAATAGAGGAACCTGCTGTAGCTGAAAAATCTTCTTTAGAAATTCATTCTACAGAAGAAATAGCTCCGAATGTGTTTGCTGAAACTGTTCATGAAACAATTGCTGCTGTCGAAACTCAACAGGAGGAGGTTAAGCAAAATATATTTGAAATACCAGAATACTCTAGTGACACATTAACCTGGGCATCCATAGTAAGCAAGCAATCTTTACCAGAACAAAATAAATTAGAAGAAGAGCTGCCGAAATTGGAAAACTTTGATCGTTCAACCAGAAAAAATCCTGTAATTGTTGTACAGGAATCTGAGCAGCACGAGCCAATTTTACATGTTGATGAGGAAGGTTTCATTGAAACTATATCGAAAAAAGAAAAACGAATTCGTCACAGATCACGTTCCAGATCCAATTGTGAAACCATTAACGACGTATCAATAAAACTAGAACCAAATGAATCAGAAATTAAAAAGAAACCTAAAAAGTCGAAGAAAAATAAAACAAAATTGGAAATTAATGTAACTGAAAGCCCTTCAAATGTTAGTGATATTCAAATTGAAGAGAACGTTAATAGTAAAACAGCCGAAAAGCTGGTTGACACTTCAACGAAACCTGACGATGAAACCATAACTACTAAGCATGGTATATACACGATAGAAAGTTCTTCCAAATCATGGAGAGAATTGGCAGATGAAGAACTGATCGAAGATTTAGTTGCTTCCGTAAACGAACCAAGTCAACCTGAACTTTGCGAAGAGGCTACAATCATTCAAGTCGAAGTAAGTGCACCGAAACCGCTTTCTTGGGCCTCAATTGTTAGTCAATCACAACAACAACCGCCAGATTTGATCAACAAAAGTCAGATGGAAGAAACGATTTCTCGAAAATCCAGACCCAAACAGAAACCTGTAATAAAAGTGCAAGAAATAGAACCAACTGCGTCAGTTGTACATGTTGACGAAGATGGATTTTTAGAATGTATTTCCAAAAAAGAAAAGCACGATAGAAGACGGTCTAAATCTCCCAGACCAATGCAACAAACGCCAAATAATGTAGAGATCAACGCTGAAGCGGTTATTGAAATAACTGAAACAACAGAAAAGAAAAAGAAAACCAAAAAGACGAAAAAACATAAGAAAGAAGATAAAATTGAAACAGAAGATATTCCAAACGTTGCTACTAATATTAAAGAAAATATTTTAGAATGTCCTTCTAGCATCTCTTACGCTTCTGTCCTAAATCAAACTGCAACCTTTATCGAACAAGAAAAACTAAATATTCCTCCGACATCTTTACAAGAACCACAGAAAAAAGTAGAAACAAATAAACTGGATAAAGAGGTAATTACAAATGAAATATGTGAAGTCCCGAATATTAGGGAAGCTATTGAACAAAATCCTAGAGTCATAGAAACTGAATTTGATATGAAAAACGAAATCGCTACAACAAACATAGAAGAAACTCCACCACACAAACGTTCTTGGGCAGAAATGGTTGAAGAAGATGACGGCTGGTTCGATGAATCTCCTGAGAATGACGAGCCAAAAGTAACCACTTTGACAGTTAGCGATGTTCAAGTTAAGGAAATCATGGACACTCCAAATGATGAAGTTGTTATGAATAAAGCTTCTGCAAGCCCGCAAACTTTCACGTGGGCGTCAATAGTTAGCAGTAGTGGTCCATCTAGCGAAATTCCTACCGTTGATGTAATATCAAAAACAGTTGAACGTAAATCTCGTCCAAAACCAGTTATAACTGTTCAAGAAACAATAAGTGATTACAAAGAACCTGTAACAATGAAAGACAATGAAGGTTTTCTTGAAATTATTTCAAAGAAGGAAAGATATAGAAGACGTTCTAGATCTCGATCGGATAGAGAAGGTCCACAAAGTGGTACTGAAGAAGAAGTAAGCAAACATACAGAAGAAAAAATAAAAAAGGCAAAGAAAGCTAAAAAACCGAAGAAGGCCGCCGAATTAAGCGAGAATGCCGAAATTTCAGTTCCCCAAACAATGGTTGAAGAGAATATTATTATAGACATTAGCAAAAATGACACTAATTTGTCTCCAATTATTGCGGAACAAAAGGATATAGTAAAGGCAACTGAGAACCCCAAGTCAGCCAAAATAGAATCTGAAATCATTGAAAAGACCAACGAAACCCTTAAAGAAATCGTAACAGTTATAAATACCACTGCAGAAATATTACGTCCTTCTAGAGAAGATACAGTTAAAGAAAACGAAGTTGAAAAAATTTCTATTTCTCAGGATTCTCAGGATAAGGAAGAGTCTAAACATAAAAAGGTCATAAATGATACACAGAATTTCTTAGAAAGTGAAAGACAAAAACAAATCCAAAGCGAACAGAAACCAAAAAATATGGCTACGCTAACAGTTGAAAAATTGATTTCGAACGAGAAACCTAAAACTCAAGTTACCATAACAAAAATTGTTACAACAGAAACTACAAAAATTCAAAATATTCCTGAAGCAGAGCCGGAAGATATAAGCAATACCCCAGTTTTAGACTCAGAAGAGTTTACTATAACTATTCAAAACGAACCCGACAGTTTTAAAAACATTACAAATGAGAAAAACATAACTGACACACAAGATAGCACAGAAATCGACGAGAATAAAACACAAACACCAACAGGGCCTACTTGGGCTTCAATAGTATCTGAATCTAGTCCATTAGAAACAATTGAATCAGAACCAGCTATTGTTACTGTAGAAGAACGTGTCTCCCGAATTAGGCCAATGATACATGTTCAAGAATATGAAACAGTTGAACCAGTTGCATTATTAGATTCTGAAGGTTTTCTGGAAATAGTATCGAAACGAGAAAAGCATCGCAGAAGGTCGAGAACAAGGTCTGGACATTCTATTAGTGAAGGTGAAGAAGTGTTTGAACAAAACCAAGAAGTGGAGGGCGATAAAAAATCGAAAAAGAAAAAGCCTAAGAAAAGTAAAAAAGGACAAACTGATTGTGAAATCGGAAATGAAGAAGAGCTCAAAAAGTCTGAAATTCCAGGTATACCATCTGCCAGTAATCAAGATATCGAATTACTTGTCAAAAAAGACTTTCAAACTTCCAAGGAAATTTATATTCCAGATATAATATCTAAAACTAATGATTTTATTGCCAATGAACAGCAAAATCAAGTATCTAACAAGCTACAAAGATTACATGAACTAAAGGTTGCCGAAACGGAAAAAATGATTTCAGTTGATAATATTAGCGAAGAAGAAGTTAATTTATTAGTTGCAGTTCCAAATGAAACTGCTTCAATAACGGAGCCTCCTGCAAAAGAATTAAATCCAAAGCTGTCGGATTTCGCTATTGATTCACCGCCTGATATATCTTCATTGCAAAATGTTTCGACAGATATATATGAACAAACTAATAAATTTATTTTAAACGAAAAATCTATTAATAAACCTATTGGAACTACAAGAAATACTATCGAAAAACCTGAGGGAATACTCATTGCTGAACCAGGAAAAACATCTACAAAAGAAGTCGCAATTATGCAACCAACAGAGATTGTTGAAGCTGCGAAAGATAATTTGCTGATAAATCTAGGAAACGATAAACATTTTTGGAAGGATAAACATCAAATCGAAAATGCTGAAAAATTATGGGTAAAGATTAAGTTTGGCGCTAAACTTTCCGAACAATTTGAAAAAGAAGCATCAATTGAACCTGAAGAATCGAAGTTTACGTTGATTCCATCGGATAATAAAATTATTACCACTGATAAGCCAGACAAACAGAGAGAATTGAGTCAACAAAATCTTGTTTTGAATCTTTCAAGCGATATTAAGATTTGGCAGCATAAGCCTGAAATTGAATTTGCAGAAAAGTCTTGGGCAATTTATAAATTTAAAGCTCTAGAGCCTGAAAAGACAAAATATATTGAAACCGAAATCCAACCAAAATTAACTGAAATGAAAGAATTGCAAGAAGTAATATACACTGAAGATAAACCAAAATCTTCTTCAGGTCCTACTTGGGCATCAGTAGTTAGTAGTTTCGTACCAGAAGAAGCGTCGATAAATCAAGAACCCTCTGATGTAATTGTAATAGAAAACATATCTCGTATGCGGCCTACTATTCATGTTCAAGAATATGAAATAGCTCCAGATCCAGTTGCAAAATTGGACTCGGAAGGTTTCCTTGAAATTGTGTCTAAACGAGAGAAGCACCGTAGAAGATCAAGAACAAGATCTGGACAATCTGTTAGTGAAAGTGAAGAGATATTTGAACAAAAAGAAGAGCCTGAAATCGAGAAGAAAACTAAGAAGAAGAAACCCAAGAAAGGTAAAAAAGAAAAAGCTGAAATCGAAAAAGAAACAGAAATAAATAAGGAGGAAAGGTTTGTAGCTTCGGTCGATACAAAAGAACTTAATATAGCAGAAGATCCACGTATTGAAAAAAGTATTCATTCGGATTTGCCTGTTTTATCTTACGACGATCTTACTTTGAAAGAAAAAGAAATTCAAAACTCATTTGATCACAAACATTCAGTTTTAGAAACTCCAATGTTCCCATTTACAGAAAAATCTTTGAAAGAAGACGCTGAACCATTTAAAATTTCCATAAACCAAAATATTCAAGAGCCAATAAACATAAATGAAAGAAAAATTGAACGTTATAAAAATAATCTTCTTTCCTCACTCGTAAATGATATGAGTTTTTGGAAAAATAAACCATTGTTTGAAATGGCTGAAAAAAATTGGCAAATAAATAAACAAAAATCTGCAGAAAAACCAGAACTTAAAAACCCCGACGTTAAACATCGTATCGAAATAACAGAAATAGAAAGAATTGCAAATGATTCAGAAGAAACCGATTTTGTTGTAATTGATAACACCTCCACTAGCGAGGAAATAGTCAAAATCGAAGAAAATGAACCGGGGAAGAGTGGATTCTTTTCAAATCTTGTAAAAAACCTGACATTTTGGAAAGAACCTACGGAGGTCGACAAAGGCACCGAAGAACCAAAATCTAAGAAAACTATAAAAGAAGGCCAAGAGATTATTAAAGAAACAACATGTCCTCTTGAAGCTGTTCAAATTCACATACCTGATGAGCAGAACTTAGAAAAACCCCTTGATATTCAAAAGGACACTGCGACACAATCAATTATTTCTGGACAACCACAAAAAACTGTGGAGCAACCTGAAATTGAAATTCAGTTTAGCGTTCAAAAGGATACCGTAAATCAATCAACTATCTTAGATAAAACTTATAAAGAACCTGAAATAAATGTACAAACAACAATTGAAACACAGCTATTACAAGATACTGTCGAAATACCAATTGAGCTTCCAGTTTCTCCAGAAAGTGATAAAACACTATTAACCGGACCTTCGTGGGCATCAATTGTTAGTACATCAATACCTCAACAAATAATTGAAGATACAGATATTACTCCAACGAGTACCGAAGAAAGAAAATCTCGTCCTAAACCTATAATTTGTGTGCAAGAGGGTGAACCAAATCCAGAACCAGTTTCCAAGATTGATTCTGAAGGATTTTTAGAAATTGTATCAAAACGAGAGAAACACCGTCGAAGATCAAGAACCCGATCAGGTCATTCTATAAGTGATGTTGACGAAGTATTAGAACAATTGACGGTTAAAGATGATAAACCAAAAAAAGAAACTAAAAAGAAAAAGGGTAAAAAGGAAAAAGTTGCGAAAACAATTGAACAATCTATACTAATACAAGAAAAAGAATCGACGGCTGTTAAGCAAGAATCCCCCTTACATAAAAAAGATAATTTGCTTGACAATGTATATTCTGATTTCAAATTTTGGCACTATGAACCTCAATGTATTGATGCTGAAGCTAAATGGTTTACAATGAAATCTGGTGAACAATCTCTTGTGGAATCTGAAAAACCTGCTGGGTCGAATTCTTTAACTTTTGTACAGGAAGAAGTAAAACCTATTACATCTAAGATTCTTGAAGAAACCCCTTGTTTAACCAAACCGGTTACAGATTCTTCAACTGTTGTTTTACCATCAAGCGTAGAAACAAACAAAATCGAACCTGCTAGTTTAGATTTACTTCTATATAATTTACATCGCGATGTTATATTACCATACAACCGCCATAATTATAATTTAACTGAGATTCGTTATCACATAGACAAAGATATTGAAGAAAATAACAAATTAAAACAACAAAAGAAAGATGAAAAAAATAAGAAAAAATCTGAATCAAAAGACGATCATAGTAAATACCACCATCGTCGCGATGATGATGGCAATGATTCTGATGATGATGGTTCCGGCGGTAGTGGTCCCTCATCACCAAAACCTGATTCATCAAAATCATATTCTAGTCATGTTAGTTGTAGTTCGCAATACATGTCAACTGACTTACCTCACGGTATTGGTCATTGGCGTGATCAGAGTACTTATTTAGGGACTGAACCATTGACTGACATTTCTAGTAATGTTGATAATAATATACTAACACAAAGTTTTACCGTTGATGTTGATATTGATAACACTAATGAGCAACAATTAATTGATAATATTGAAAATAGTCCTATTTTAAATACAATCACAAAAACAACAACAGTAGAAACATCAACAATACAAAAATCATTACCACCACAAACCATAGTATCATCTGAACACACTACTGAATCACCTATTCCATGTGAATCAGTAGAAACCGTTGTAGTTGATAAAAAATTACCCCCTAGTAATATCCTTAGTTCCTTAATCCCAAATATTTCGTCGGTAACCAATATAATAACACCATTAAGTGCATCAGTTGCTCCAAATATTGCATCTGGATCACAAATTATTGGTAATACAGTAATAGGATTAGCATCAACAGTAGCTTCGGCTGCTGCGAATATAGTGTCAAATCGAAATGACGATGATGATGAATTAGGTGAAATTCATTCAAGTAATATTAACGATATTTTGGTAGATGATAACATAGTATCAACAAATGATGACACTAAAATATCTAAAAATATAACAACTGTTAAAGTTACTAAGAGTGTCACTACAACTACAACAACAACAACAACAACGACAGATGAGAACAAAGAACCAATTGTACATAGTGAAACAACAACAACATACACTGAAACTGTTCCAGATAGCAATAACTTCTACTTAGAACAACAACAACAACCAAGAGAACAGAAGGTGATAACAATAAGCATCACTTTATTTTTTAGTTTTGTACTAATATCATTTTTGTGTGGTTTTGGTCTTTGTTTTTGGCTTTTTATCAATGTAATTGGATGTATACCTAAATAATAAAAAAAAAGTATATATACCTAGTAGCTTAGTTTTACATAATAAATAATAATTATTAATAAATAGTTAGAATTTAAAGTACTTAATCTTTATTTTTGTAATTTTATATTAATTTTTGAACATTTCTAGAACATACATATTTTGTTTTGTTTTTAAATTGACTTTATAATATGTTTGTTTTTTAGTTTGTTTGATAATAATTAATTATACTTCAGAAAATTAAGAAATGGCGCATAATATTAATAATATTTGATGAAAATGAAAATTCTAAAAAAGAATAATTAATATATTTTTGCCTTTTTTTTGTGTTTTTTTTTTCTATTTTTAACTTTGTTTTTAAATGCGTTACTTAATTAATATAATTTAATTATATAACTTTATCAATTATTATATTTTTTACTAACCGTATTTTCAAATTATTATATTTTATAATTATATATAAATTTTTTCATAAATAAATTTTTTATTAGTAAAACAAAAAATTAATAATATTTTGTAAGACAAACTTTTCATCAAAATTCACCATAAGCTATCAATATTGAACAAAAAAAAAACAAGAATTTGAAATAATATATTTTCATAATGCACAAGATATACGTACGTTTTTTAATATCATACGAGTAAAATTTCTAATTATAACTATTTTTATAGACCAAAAATAAAGTATATTTTTTTTTTCCCTTTGATATACAAAAACATACAAACTCTCATAGGCATTAGCTGTACATCATTTATATTAAAAAGCATATTTTATATTTCATACTTTATTTAAAATATTCAATTATTCAAACTATAACAAAAAAAAATCATCGTTAATACTATATTATCATTTGATTTTCATAAATAATAATGAAACTTTTATCACAATATCAACCAATTTTCGTTTTAATTTGTTTTAATTTCAGTTAGTATTTAAACTAACAAGAACAATAATGAATTTTAAACAGAAATTGTCTATCAAAATTCTACTAGAATATTAATTTAATAACAAATTATTATTTATTTCATAATAAATATTTCAAGATCAATCATTTCAATTGAAACTATAATTAGAACTTAATAATTTCATTATCATTTTATCATTAAATGATAACTATATGACATTATGCCATGAATTTAATTTTAAATAATTTCAATAAAATGAACTACACAGATCTGTTCTATATACAAATAATTTTTAGATTTTTTTTATATATTAAAGTATAAAGCGATTTATTATTTCATAATAATATACTTATATACTTATTCCATGTATAAATATATTTTTTTTTTTTTCATAATTATTATGATTATTTCTAAAACAATAATGTAAAACATGTAATTTAGTTCCTACTAAATATAACTTTTGTGTGATTAATATTTTTCTTATAATAATTTCATTTTAAATAAATAAAAATCTGAATAATATTTTAAAAAAAAAAAATAAGCATTGTTTTTCCTTTTCATTTTTATTTTATTATAAACTTATAGAATTTAAAGATTTATAAAAAGGACTAAAAAAAAAAACTAAGAACAAGAGAATAGTTTCCTTAACCGATTTGCAAATACAAAATTTTTATTTTAATTTATATTTTTTTTTCCATTTTATGATCCTCGGTTTGTACTAAAATATCCTAATTATTCTTTTTTTTTGCACGGTTTTGTGAGCTCTTTTGTGAAACGAAATTATGAAATAATTATTATAATCTGTATAGTAATCGTTAATCGTAATTTCAGAAATTCATTAATCGGAAGGAAACAATTTATTTTATTTCAAGCATGACAATTAAATTAATGGAGGCCATACAACAACGATTAGATTTTATTTTATATCGTAATCGTCGATATAATAAATAATAATATAGTAAAAAATAATTTTAAAAATAAATTTGTTCCAACAAAATCTATTTTATTTCTATTCAGTTGCTTTAAATCAAAAACGCACAAAGAGAAAAATGAATTAATTAAATCTGTTTTTGTAAAAAGAGAAATTTTGTTTAAAAATTCTATATTTAAATATGTTAAAAATATATAGAATTATAATATTACATCTATATTATCAATATAGATATATATGCATAATTATATTAACACTTTTATATATGTACTATACCTAATAATATTTCTTGACTTCAATATTACAGTGATACGGTATTAATAAACCATTCATCTTATGAGTTAAAATTTGCTGAATAATGTAGTAATACTGTTTTATATCAAAGTTCCGGATCATAATTTTGAACAAAATCTACATGAAATTTTCATACATATATAAAAAACAAAAACTGATTGAGAGCAACTGATTAGAAATTGTTAATAATTATTATTAAGTATTTAAATTAATTTGAAAAAACAAAAAAAAATTTTTTTTGGTGTTATTTCATTATTGATAGCTTATGAAGAATTTTAACAGTTGAAAACAAAAAAAATAAAAGTTTTAGATTATTATCAAACAAAAAATAAAGAATAATTAAAAACAATCGTGAAAACGAAAACATATACATAATATGTATTTATTAAATTAAATATGAATTTATTTTTCTATTGCATGTGATAAAAAAAGAAAAACAACTAAAGTTATAATTTTTAAATTTTATTTCTCTCTCTTTCTTGTTCATTAAAAATATTCTTAATATTTTTTTCTCTTAATTTAATTATTTTATTTTTTTATGTTTTTAGTTTTTAATTTTTTCTTTTTATATGTTGTTTCTGTATAATTTTCTCTTAATTTTTGTTATCATTTCTGTTTTCTTTTTTTTTTATTGTTATTATTTATTTTGCACATGTTAGGTATCTCTTTTCTCATATGTTATCAAAAGAAAAAATGTTTTTATTTTATTTTCTCTTTGTGAATTAAATTAAAAGTTATTACTTATTTTTTTTTTTTTTGATATTTTTCGAAAATTATATTCGTAAAAAGTTGATATTATCATATAAAGAACAAAATAAAAAAAATACAACTATGATAAATAATAAATAAAAATAATCATAAAAATTATCTTATATACACATTCTTGGAGTAGGGTATTGAAATAAGAAAAAGCAATACGGAGAACGAAAAAGAATTTTATATGAACATACAAGTTCAATGTCTTCAATTGAGAATGTGAAGTATTTGTGGGCCGGTTTCATAACAATGTATTTCATTTCCATACATAATATAAAATAAAACAAAAGTAAATTTCAATACGCTTATTTAATTAAATTCATTTCGATTCAAATAAATTTCGGTATTTTAAACAAATGAAACCAGAAAATAATTTATTTAATTTTGAAATATCTAATAAAAAATTACAATGCATAATTTTCTTAAAGAATTAATATTACTTTTAATATGTTTTTCATATATGTATACCTACATTTTTAAAATTTGTTGCATTCACAATATGCAATTGACAATATTCATAATATCAACACACACATTTTTTAATATACACAAAAGAAATGTATACAAAGCGTGTAAAACATACCCATATTATTTACATAAATGTGTTTTACTTTGCAAGCAAAATGTAAAATAACATTAAAAAAAAAAATTAAAAATATAAATACGAGAAAAATGCAACACTTTGTGTTTCTTTAACACTCCAAGATTGTGTATAAATTTATGATAATAGCAGACCAGAAAAAAAGTAACAACAACAATAAAAAAATTATATAAAAACCGGCGATGCAAGAGGTATCTTAAAATAGAATTTAAAATATCTTTAGGTGCAAGAAATTTTATGTATACTTTCATACATATACATTATATGCATAAAAATGTACATAAGAAAAATAATTGAATATTTTTACGTACGCACATGTAAAACATTTAAAATCAAAAGGAAATAAAAAAAAAATGTATATTATATACAAAAAATATGTATATGTATATATATACATATATACATAAAAATAATATAAAAATTGTCTGATGATCTCAACACTCTAATGTTAGTCACTAGAATAATTGAGATTGTTTAAGACGTAAACGAAAATTTTGTCAATTTTTAAAAATAATTACACAAAAAAAAAACAGCAATTAGAGTTAAAAGACAAATTTTTGAACATTTTAAAAGCATATAATTGTTTTTCAATTTAGAAGAAACACATTTTTTTTCAAAAAGTACATTAAGTGTTCATATTATTATTTTTGGAAAATATGTATGTTTTTTTTTTCTATTTTGTTTTTCAAACGTAAAATTTGTATACAAAAAATAAAAAACAAAAATAAGAAGAAAATAAATTGAGTAAATCACTCACTTTTTATTTTATAACAAGTTTATACTGCAATATATATACACAAATATACGTATATATATATATATACTTTCTTGCCAAAAAAAAAAAATAGCACATAACAAATATATAAAAATTATATCAGTTAAATTTTTAAATCCGTTTAAAACAGTTCGGCCAATTGGTTCCCTTTTAACGCACGTTCAAAAAACAAAGTTTTCGAAAATAATAAAAAAATTAATTTTGTTGCTGTGCAAATGAAATTATTTCGATGCTGTTTTATTTCTGTGAATTTTCAAAATTATTAAATCAATTATTTTTCAATATTTTTATTTAAAATAATTAATTTATTAACAAAATTTAATAATTTTTTTTTTTTTGCAATAAAAACTTCTAACACTGCATACACGCACACAGAAATTAGGGAGAAACGACTATATGATAATTTTAACTTTTTACGATAATAAAAATTATCCGGTATAAAATTTTTATGAATTTTATTTTCAATAGTATATTTTTTTTATTAAATTATATAAAAATTTTAAAAATCTATGTAGAATATTTTAATTAATATTTTTCTAAAAGAAAATTTTACATAATATTTTTAATTTCATTCATATAATTTTGAATAAATAAAAGAAAATTTAAGCTTTTTAGAAAAAAGAAAAATTATTTTATGAAATTTA